GCGGAGGCGGAGAGGAGTTGGTGGGACAGATGGCGGGAGGAGGCGGACGGGAGGCGGAGGCGGAGGAGAAGTGGCGGAGGTGGGGGAGTAAAGAGAGAGAGGAGATGGCGGGGGGAGGCAGAGGGGAGGTGGGCGCAGGACGGAGTCACCTCGGAGGGGCCTGCCTTCAAGCACAGCCTTGCAACACAGCACAGACGAAGTCACGGGCCGTCGGACTCTAGCGAGGGCGCGAAGTCACGGGCCGTTCGACGCGAGCCAGCAGGTGCCGTGGCCGACGGGCCCTCTTTTCAACGGGCTACTGGACGAGAACGGCCCCTCTTGGTCGTGCGATCTTGGGCCAATAGGACCGCGGGCGGCCCGGATCGGCCAATTCTCACGTTACCGATTTCTATTACTGTAGGGATACGCCAATTCCTCTTTTGTTTCGTTTTTCGCGTTAAATGTTTAGAGACAAATGAAGGCAACATCCCTGGCAAAGGAGACGTTGAGGTAAGGAACGAAGAACGGCATTGATGAGAACACGCAGGAGAGTGAGAGTGTGCGACAGAGTGTGACATAGAGAAAGTGTGAGAGCGAGCGAGAGACTGTTGGAGAGAGTGAGAGAGAGAGTGAGAGAGAGAGAGAGAGAGAGTGTAGGAGAGAGAGTGTGCGCGAGTGGAGAGTGTGCGCGAGTGGAGAGTGTGCGCGAGTGGAGAGTGTGCGCGAGTGAGAGTGTGTGAGAGAGAGACTGCAAGAATGGAGTGTGCGAGAGTGAGAGACTGCAAGAGTGGAGTGTGCGAGAGTGAGGGAGAGTGCTAGAGAGAGAGAGAGAGAGAGAGAGAGAAGGGAATAGCCCATCTCACAAGAACGTCCCCCAAAGCGGAAAAGCAGTGTCTTTTTATCCGGAAACGACGATGATCCGCTCTACCATGGGGACTGGCAAGTAACAGAACCACTTTTGTATTTCTTTTGCGTTGGGACCGGTGACGATAAAATAAGGAGAAACGGGGAGAGAGAGAGGGACAGAGAGGGGGAGAGGGGGACAGAGAGGGGGAGGGGGGGAGGAGGAGAGGGGGGGAAAGAAAGATTGGGAGAGAGGCGGAGAGAGGCGGAGAGAGGGGAGCGAGGGCAGCGAGGGGAGCGAGGGGAGAGGGGAGAGAGGGGAGAGAGGGGAGAGAAAGAGGGAGGAGGAGGTTGAAAGAGCAACAGGACACTGAAAGAGAAAGGTAGAAGTGAGGGAGCTCGTGCCGGACTATAGGAGAAACGGAAAGAAGAGGGCGGGTGCAATAAGAGAGGGGGGATACATTGAACCACTACGTTGCCCAGGTTATTTTTTGTTCTCGAAATGTGCACAACCGGGTTCTTCGGGTGAACAAAGCTTACCGGAAGCCAAGTCCCACTAGGAGCGTTGAGTTTTCTCAACGCCCGAGGGCCTCGTTCGACACCACTTGAACTCAAGGGTTGAAGGAGAATTCTTCGTTCCACCCCTCCCTGCTGACACCGCCGTAATGTTTTCACTTTCCTGCTCTCAAGTGCGCATTCTTGAACTCAAGGTACCTCCCCGAGGTGAGGTACCTTTCCACCCCTCCCTGATGACACCGCCGTAATGTTTTCACTTTCCTGCTCTCGAGTGCGCATACTTGAACTCAAGGTACCTCCCCGAGGTGAGGTACCTTGAGTTCAAGTGCGAACGGGTATCGCAGAGCACTTCGACTGGGGCTTTTTTCTGTTTTTCTTTTTTTCAGCAGGCGTCCAGGATTGGTCAGCAAGCCGTGGGTTTCGGTTTCCAGTGCAGCTTGTTGAAGAGTTCCCTCAAGTGCACGTGGAACCATAAATGGAGTTGGTGTAAATTAATCTCAATGTCTCGTTTAGGGCGCCCTTGAAACTCAAGTATTTTTTCAAATGGAGTCGAACGAGGCCCTGAATCTGGACGTGTTTGAGGATGTGCAGAAATGGCGTTGAGTTTCCTCAACCGCACATCTCCTCCACAAACAAGTCCAGATTCCGGCGTTGAGGAACTCAACGCTGCTAGTTGGACTTGGCCCCGGGCCAAATTGGCTGGCGGCGCGAGCCAGAAAAAAAAAAAAAAAAAAAAAACGCACCCGTGGCGGGTCGTATTTCTTGGCCGCACAGGGGAAATCGGCGTCGGCAAAAAGAGGCTCGAAGCACGTGATCCACGTGCGCAATCATTGTAACATTTCCATACCTCGCACTAACCAAGGAGCAAGTTGTCGCATAAGTAACCTGTCGCTCACGAAAATTGTCGCACATGTGAGTTGTCGCACACGTAAATTGTCGCACATGTGAGTTGTCGCACACGTCAATTGTCGCACATGTGAGTTGTCGCACACGTAAATTGTCGCGAATGTCACACGTCGCACATGTGCGCTCTTGCAAATATGAGTTGTCACACAAGCTAACTGAGAGAATAAAGGAAATAATAATAATAATAATAATAATAATAATAATAATAATAAAAATAATAATAATAATATCATAATAATAATGTATTACAATAGGGATAATCCTCACACTCCTTTCTCGTTCTAGATGTCTGAATCATCACCCTGGATTTCGTCATTTGAATTAAGATATATACATCGTTAAACATAGCTGCCCGGTAAACCGTAGGCAGAGAGGGAGAAGAGGACAAACAAACGAGGGGCTATGACAAACTGTTTCCCTTTTTCTCTCTCTTCTTTTTTATTTTCCTTTAGTCTTTTTTTGCAATTTTTCTTTTTTTAATGTTTTCTTTTTTCCTCCTTTGTCATTTTCCCCTTTAATAGAGGGAGGGAGAGGGAGAGAGAGAGAGAAATTACGTTACCCCCTCACACACACTTATCGACTAAAAACGCGTGCGCGAAATGAAAGAAGAAAAAGCGACCCCCCCCCCCCCCCCCCCCCCCAACACCCTGTCATTTACGTCTTTTCTTTTACTTTGGAGGGTTTCTTTCCCTTCCTTAAATCCATAATACTATGTGCACATGCAGGCGGGATCGAGGGGAAGAAAGAAAAAGGGTGTACAAGTAAGGAGATCGAATCTCAAATGCATACGTGATTGCGGTGCGGAGAAGGTTATCACCTACCTACGGTAAGCTCCAGCATTTTTTCGCTGACACGTGGCGGGCGATCGCCGACGCCGATATCAGCTGCTGAGGTTTCGTCAGCTACGGCTGCCGCGGACGGTGCCAGTGTTGGGGAGCTCGGGCCAGGCTGGCTGTGAAAGCCGACACGGCACAGGCCAAAGCCAGACCTCCCGGCTGTCACGGCAAGCCTGCCACGTGTCCAGACGACAGAGGAGGAAGCCTGCTGAGCTGAACGCGTGTACTCTTCATTCTGATTCCGTGACTGATGATCCCAAGGAGCGATTGTCTGCTTCACCCGGCTGCCACGTGTCACCTCCTGACAGATTTCGCGTCCATGGTCATTGCCCACGTGAATGTTGCGACAGAAACTATCGTGGGACGAAGCCCGGGCCGCTGCCACCGGGCCGCCGCCACGTCTCACCTCATGCAAATGGTGACTATGATTTACTCCAATCAAGACTCTTGACAGTTGCTTCGCCGATTTAACATAAGTACGGCGTAAATGATTGGCCAGCATCTCTCCAGCCTGTTCGCTTAAATCAAACAAATCGACAGGCGGCTCGCGCGACAATGCGCGCCAGACGCGGTCGCGATTCGCGACCTCTCGATCGGTCTGAGTGGACTATGAACCCGCGTCTGACAGGTGTCGAGTCAAGATCGTGCCACGTGTCGAACCGCCGAAGGATCCCGCAGAGACTCGAGTCTGAATTCTGCCACGTGTACAATCAGTCGCTACACCACTTAACCAGCGTCGCACGTCAACGCGACGAAATGCGCTACGTTTGTAAATTGTAGTCACACACCTGGCTTTCACACACCTTCACGAATTATATATACTGCTAGGTAGTCATCAGCAAGGCATCGCCATCGCCATGGACTACAACGTATCGTCTGAGAGCCACTCTACCGATAGTCCGCTCCGCTGCGCTGCGCGGTGCGGCGCAACTAGTGTTGCCGCTGGTATAATCTCAGAACCAACGAGGACGTCCCTGCCACCTCCCACGAGAACAAACAATGGCTTGTACGGGGCCGGTCGGGTAGCTTGGCGCGCATTAGATGAGCCTTCTGCAGCAGAGTGCGAGAGCGTGATCCCCTGCGGCCATCCCTGCATGGATCGGCACCCCTTTGCGCGCGCGTGTGCGTGCCATTAACGAGAGGGGTGCCTCCGCAAAGATGGGAAAAGGGGACCGCTTGTCAAAACGACGACCTGGTTCATGCCGAGCGCGCTTGTGTACTTCGCGTGTTGTTCCCGCCCGCGCAACTTGCCTGCCTTGAGCGCGATCGAAAAATCGATGAAAACGAAACGAAACGAAAAGAAAAGAAAAGAAAAACCTCATTCGCTCCTCCACTGCACTGTACGTATGGTAGTGCGTAGTCCCTGGGCCACGGTACTGGCCGTCCAAATCTTTGTTATCGACGGCTGCTATCTCTTAGTCCGCGCCAGTGGAACGTCGCCCGCCTTTTTACGAATAACCCGAGGTCTCAAGGCAACCCGCCACAGTCCGACTCCGATGCGGACTCGGGGCTCCACTTTGTCCCCAACGTGACAAATCCCGACCGTATCTTCTTATGTTTAACGGAAAGATACGCGCGCCCATCCCCAAATCCGGTGAGTAGTGAAAATGTATCGCGCCCATCCCCACATTCGGTCAGTGAAAATGCATCTTCCGTGCTTGGAATAATACCGCGGGAAAGGAAGATTAGCAGGGCCATGGCCACAGCGCAAGGATGAAACGCATAAACCGAAATGTATGGTCCCAGGTTCAAAGGAAGCATACGCGCCCCCAAGGGCCTCCACGACTCTCGACATGCACAAAAGACAAAAATTGTGGCAATGTATCTTTATTCAGTCCCATTTTGAACATTTCAAGAGTAATGGAGCGAGGCCCCAATTCTCGCCACACATTTCGAGAGTAGTGGAGCGAGGCCCCAATTCTCACCAACGTTCTACGAGGAGGGACGAGGAAACGTGAGAGTGTTGCCTCGCTCGTTCCATCAGGATGACAAGGTACACTTGTCAACTGGTCAATGCCTTTTCTTGTGTTTTTCGGGAATTTTTGTTCATCTGGTTCCGGCTGGATTTGAACTCACGTGTGCATTCAACAGTTGGCAGCCAGGAGGCTGGACCATTCAACAGTTGGCAGCCAGGAGGCTGGACCATTCAACAGTTCGCAGCCAGGAGGCTGGACCATTCAACAGTTTGCAGCCAGAGGCTGCACCTTTACCGGTTTGCTTGTTGTGGTTTAGCAAAGTGGACCTCAAATTGGTGTGTAAAGCGGGTAGGGGACATACGGCAGTGGGGGCATGGAGGAAATAGGGGTGCAAGTCTCAGACCAGAAGGTGGGTGCAGTGTAACCACCAATACTTGGCCCATACAGCGGCCGCAGGCCTTACCATTAAACCACCAGTACTTGGGCGACGCCTTAGCGTTAACGCTACGCGATTTCCGCGGCCGGTGGGCCGTCGATAAATCGAATTGACAGCCCGCGCTGCTTCGAGATTTGGGCGGCCGGCGCGGCGCGCAGTGCCCAAGTACTGGTGGTTTAATGCGCCGCAACTTTCGCGGGTCAGAAGGCCCGGTAGTGCGATGGAGGAGGAAGCTGTTGGAAGCTATTGGGCCCAATCAAAATAGAAAATGGACTGCACGTTGTCCCCTTGGTTTATATCACGCATGTGGAAACGCATACGCAGACGCGGCGTAGGCCAGAAAGTAAAAAGGAAACAACCCAAAACAAGAGAAGTGTTGTGAGGACAGGGGGGGAAACAAAGTTGTACCCGCCACTTGGCAGGCAAAAGAAGTTAGAAAACAGCCTTCAGTGTTGCCAGAGCCGCCGTATCAGACCTGGCAAGTGGGTCGATAAAGGGCCTCGCTCCACTATTCCCCACAAGTTGAGGACTGCTAAACACTGAAAATGCATCTTTCCATGTTCCAAAGGAGGATTCAACCAAGCATGGGTAAACAGCGCGAGTGACTATGTTTCTCTGAAGGTAGCCAAATGCCTCGTCATCTAATTAGCTATGCACGCTACAATGATCAATCCAACAAATCGCTTACCTGTGTTGAAGGGCTCAGGTAACCTTTCTAAGGTTCATCGTGACGGGGATAGATTGTTGTAATTATCAATTTTGCGTGAGTCACCAGCTGACACTGATTACAAGTAAGCGTGAGTCACCAGCTGACACTGATTACAAGTAAGCGTGAGTCACCAGCTGACACTGATTACAACCCAGCCAATTGCGTGCATTAACAGTAGACTCCTTGAAATTAATGAATCAAGCCGACGAGCTCGACCAGATTCATCCGTTTTATTGGTATAGACTACATTGACTTTTATTTTTTATTATTATTATTATTATTATTATTATTATTATTATTATTATTATTATTATTATTATATTTTATTTTATTTTATTTTCACCCATGTTTGAGAATCGGGTCGAGAATATGGGCAAATATGTGGTGAAGAATTGGTGCGGCAACTAAATCGAACGTTGGGCAAGTGACGAGAACAGAGGGGCATGTGGCCACCTGACTATTCAACGGACAAGGGGCGGGAGAGAAGAACAAATCAGTAATGGCGAGGCCAATCACCACGCATCCACGCTTACGAGTATTCAACAATCTGCATGGACATTAAAGCTCACAAACGCGCATATTCCCCGACGTGTTTCGCCTGGCTGCGCTCCAGGGCTTATCAAGGGGCAAACCGCACTCCCGCATCCACCTGTCTATCCGTCTGAGCTCTGAGGGCCGTTCTGGCCTTCCCCTCTACGTATACTGTACTCGTGCCAGTTTGCACGTTCCTCGTGTATCCAACAACCTGGCGTAGGCACTCCCTTCACTCAGCGTAACAGAACGGGCTTGCCTTCACAGTCTTCCGCCAGGAGCCTCACGTGTGCGCCTATGCTGCGCCCGGTATGCCCGTTGAGCACGTGTACCGGTTCCCGGGGAAGTTTTTATATATGCTAAACAACCTTACAGGGCATGATGTCGTCCAGGTACATCCCGTTCGTTTTTTCTCTTTTCCGGTTCTTGTCGGGTGCACGCGCCTACCCGACTTTTTTCTCTCCCCTCTCTTGCCTCTCAACCGGCCTGCTACCTTGCCAGTTAACTTTGCTCAATAACTTGTCACGTTACAACCTACAGGAAAAACAAATCCAATGTTAAGAAATGAGCAAGGACAACAACAACCCTTCCGTGGTCGTTCCGCCTACACTACCTTTTTCGAAGGAGAGGAGGAGAGAGGAGAGGAGAGGAGAGGAGAGGAGAGAACAAGGAGAGAGAAGATAAAAGAGGAGGAGGAGGAGAGGAGAGGAGAGGAGAGGAGAGGAGAGGAGAGGAGAGGAAAGGAGAGGAGAGGAGAGAATAGGAGAGGAGAGTAAGGACGGAAGAGAGTAAGGTCGATCAACTACCACCCCACCGAAGCAGATAAACGAGGGAACGAAAGATCCCGCTATTGGGGCCGTTCAGCCTATACCCCAACACTCTCTTGGCAAGATAACCGTACCTCAAAAACTTGTCTCGTTACTTCCTTACCGCTTCTGCGCTTGTGATCCTCCTTCGTAACCCGTTTGCGGGCATCGTGAGGTGGAGATGCGTGGCCATCACAAGGGAAAAAATACTCGCATGCAGTGGAAGAAGACGATCGAGAAGTACGTGCTTGCAGAAAGGGGGGGTGAGGGCGAGCAAGAAGGAAACGAGATCGGGCAAAAAGAAAAGAGAGTTGAGGTAGGAGAAAAACTTACTTGCTTGGTGGTTGACCGTAAATAAAATGCGCTTGCATTCTGCCTACATCAAACCAAAACGGGAGCTTGTATACATTTTATTATTATTTTTTTAAGTTTATAATTGTAATTATTATAATTTTTATTTTGTTGCTATGTTGTTGTTGGTGTTCGCGAACACGGGTAAAAACGAAGAAAGAGAGAGAGAAAAAAAAAAAAAAAGGTTACTTCGGCGGGCGGTTAGCTCATGGTACTCAAGTTGGGCTTCATCAATGTTGGCGCTGGTTGTAATGGCGGACATGGTGGCTGTCACGTTAGTGCTTTAGTGAGTGAGACAAGGGGGAGATCGAGTACGAGGGAAAAAAGAAAAAGGTACGAAAATGCACTTTAACACATTGTCTGCAACTAAACACCTGTCTCTTATACACATCTAGATGTGTATAAGAGACAGATGTTGGCGCTGGTTGTAATGGCGGACATGGTGGCTGTCACGTTAGTGCTTTAGTGAGTGAGACAAGGGGGAGATCGAGTACGAGGGAAAAAAGAAAAAGGTACGAAAATGCACTTTAACACATTGTCTGCAACTAAACACTATGCACCAAATTCGTAACAATATAAATTCGGAAAGATAATCTTGTGCACTTGTGATAATTGTTTTGTTTATTCTCTTTTATTCTCTTTACACTTTGTTTTTAAGTGGTGTCGAAAAAAAGACACATACATCTTACTGTATTCCGTTTAAAGCACTTTGAGTAGCAGCGAGCCTCGTGCTTGCCCTAGATGAAGGCGGGCTTGAATATCCACGAGAGACATTTATCTCAACATTTTCCAATGTGTGTCTCAGCCAGTTGTTGCACGCCAGTTGGTTCGAGTGCAACTTTGGCCTCACACTGGGCTCTTCCGGAAGTAGTTGCGTCAGGCAGTTGAGCCCAGCACGAGGGTAGTTGCGCCCTTGGCACACACAGTGGGGGACCGGCACATCACAAAGTGACCACGAGCCAAATGAGAATGCAACATTGACGTCACATCCGCCCCGCTGGCCAATGCAAACACAACATACATTCAGAGCCTGGATAAACTTTGGTGTGCCCAACTATAAAGGGTCCAGGCCTTCAAATGTAGACATGGGTCTGAGCGCCGACACTGGGGTGTGCGCGGGCACTGAGTGGTATAAGGCGCAACAGGGCAACGGGGCGCTAGCAGTCATAGTTGGACTTCAGGACGCAAGGGGGTGATGAGCGGTGGTGGTCTTCAAGAAGGAGGTGCACTGTGGGTGGACAAGGGTCATGAGGGAAGTCGATAGTACTTACATGGTGTATGAGGGAGGTCGACATTGGTGTTGATGTCATGTACATTGGTCTTCGAAGTTGAAGTGGGTCTGTTGCAATAATGTAGATAGGATAGGTGGGATAAGTATAGTAGGTTGGGCACAGGACGCCAATCAGTAGGAACAACATTGGATACTATGTTGGTGTGGCCAGGG